TAAAAATTAAGTAGAGCCTTTGAACAGACTGCTTCGGAGCATGTCATGTGACCGCCTAGGCCATGTGTTTTGCGCATGGGCAGAAAAGTGGCATATGCGCATAAAAATTAAAGAGGGCTACTAGAATAAGTATTTACCACTGTTAGAGTCCAATCTCAAGATTGGCAAAAAGAGCAAATTCCAGATGGTCCATCCTGTCTTTGATGCAATTAACTGCAAGATCCAAGACTTCAAAATAATAGTTTCGACTATTTTCTTTTACTGAATCTTGGTGGTATGATTATAAACCTTCGTCAAGACGTTTGGGAATTTGTTTTTTTTTTTTTTCTTGTGGATCATTTACTTTAAATTCTTGCCTTCTCTGCTCATCCATTTCCCAAAAAAGAACAAAATGTTCCTCATTTCTTAAATTTTGCAAAATTTGTATCGTCAAACTTGCCATTTTGCTCCTCTCATATGCTGAGATGCTCTCTTTCCGCAAAGCTTTGCTCAAGTTTTCACAATTTCTCAATATTGTTTCTCCGAGAAGAGTACCGAAGATAAAGTCAAATGTCTGCATGTAAAGAGAAAAGCCCCTAATTCTACTTCTCATTTCCTACTCTTTCACATATTCTAATGCCTCATCCCATGCATCTTACAGGACATCATAATTTTCAACAACACTATAAAGAGCCTTTGCTCTCACCGTCAAACGAGTGGGGCAAAGGACCCGGATGCCTAGGGAGTCTGTTCAAGAGTATTTTTGAGGTTTTTTTTTTAATATGGTATCTCTTGGCTTCCCTGTGACATTGGGAGCTAGTATACATAACAGTGACTTTTTTCAGTTTCTAAATCCCTCAAAATAAAAGCCTTTTCCTTACACAAGTTTGCCAATTTGTGTTCCTTATATGCTGTTACGTACACGAAACAAAAGGCCTTGTCTGTATATTCCTCATAATGGAACTAATGCCATGTGCTAAGCCAACTATAGACAAAGGACCTCCTTCTTTTTCAAATTATTGATACGTGAAAAGTTTTCTTGGGTTGCTTTGGTTCATTAGTAATAACAGGAACATCTCATTCTAGCGTTGGATCCATGTGAAGGACTTGTGTATCTGATGATGTGTCAGGTATTTGTTTATCAAAACCCTGTCCTCGATCCGTGTCTGTTTGATTTGAATTTGCAGATTTTGACCCGGACGCCTCAGTAGAAACAACATCATGTTTCATATCAATATATTCCCCTTCCTTACATGCATCAACCTGAAACTGCACTAAAGCACCAGGGCTATCTTTAACGGTACTTAAATCCTGCGTAGCACTCACAACTGTAATTTTATTTTTGCAATCACCTTTTTGTTTCTCTTTTTGTCCAAAAAATGATTAAACTGACAGCTGTTTCTTTTTCATTTTAGAAAAAGTGACCCATTCTTTGCTCTCAAATGAAATTTGCGAATGAATGGGGACAAAATGGTTTGGCTGATACATACAACTATGGGTATTCTCCAATACCCCATCTCTACTCCACAATATAAAAAGCTTGTGTAGATTCTTTCATGCAATAGGGGTCTAAGATTATAATTTACGAATGGATAGACTAACACCACACTGAAAAATTTTTTGCAGAACTTCAGCTAAAGCCATAAGTTGGAGTATCCCAATCCAAGATCGATCCACTACAGTTTTTATTGCTTCAGCTTGTATGGACTGTGACAGATTTTTATTCTTCTGAAATTCTTCAACAGTATCCACAGACAGCACCGTGTCTACAAATTCCATCTCATGTACATTTGCCCTCTTCGTCAGATCAATAACCTTTCTCCCTCAACCATTGAGGGACTAAATTCCACACAAAAAGAGAGATGCGGCGTTATAAAGACAATTTCCATCACCAGATGTCTTTGCTCCTACATGTGATCCAGGGGAAAGACTTTCTATGTCTTCTGGAATCAATGAAGTTGCTAAATTTTCAGTTCGGAAATGTTTTCCGAAAAAATCCTAATCAATACTGTTTTCTAAAATCTTTTCTTGATCTAATGTAAATTTACAGATAGCTTCCGTTTCATTTTTTATCCTGTTTTTACGCTAGTCCTCCATAATAACAAACTGTTTTATACCAACATTTGTTTTTAAAAATAGTAATGATAATAATCCCTAGACCTTACAATTAAACTAAGAACAAACCCTTCTTAAGATAACAGACTCTCGGACTTAGTTTGCTTCATTATCAAAACTTAATTTGTAATTCAATACTTTTGATTTTAACAGCAATCGATAAACGCTCCTGCAAATAACGCTAAAGTATAATTTATAACTGAAGAGAAGAGCACACAACAAGTCGCTTTCACTCCTCGTTGATCAAGTGCGAAATAGAGTAAGAACGATCTACCAAAGCAATAAAGGAAATTATATACTAATTTGATAGTTTGAACGTTGATATCATATATCTTCATAGTGGATACATGTAAAGTGCTTTTATGACCTTGAACAGTTACCTTTGGTTATTTTGTGGGCTACAATTACCGTTAAGTTAAGCTCCAATGGATTTTTACATAACAAAGAAAAAAGTTTGATCCAAAAAGTCGGGGAGAGATCCCCCCCCCCCGACCCTCCCCTGATACTACGCCCCTGGGACACAGAGTTTCAGCTTTTGTATATAAACACTAAGAAGAGTACTAACTAATTTAGCGATTAAAATTTGAGCAGCGCCAAAATAAGCTAAAATTAGCACTCTGCTAAAATAACCCGCTATACGGTATTGTCTATTACAAGTGACGGGATGTTACACACAGGCCAATTTTACAATGATATGTCTGGAAGTTACTTCTGCACCCAAGACAGAAACAGCGACCTGAGGGCTTACAACTGTGTTATTTATTATTGTGGAGGGTGGTGTTTTAAAGGCTGTCACGGGGCCAGTGTTGTCCAGCGTACTACCGCTGCCTTTGGTGTCCTATTGTAGAATGGTCTACAGTCGTAACTGGGACAGTCACGATGGTTTAACGTCACTTAATAAACCAATTTAATCTTAACAATCATCATTTCATTTTCGTATTTCTAGAAGCATTTTAAACGTTTACGAGAGATTCTTTTCACAATAAAATATTATTTTATTATCTCTGTGAAGCAATATTTTAGTTCTTGTTTTTCTTCTAATTGTTTAAAGGAAGACAATCCATATATCAATCAGTAATTCATGTTAAAAGAGACGATTTTGAATTAATCTGCACCATGGGGTTCTTTTCTATACATACATATAATGTTTGACATTAAGTACACTTTAATTTGAAGGAAAAACATATTGTTATATTTTGGAAATTAACGATATGCATGGCATGCGTTGTAATAAATTTGAAAATATAGAAAAATATAGAAATATTATGTTATTTCTACAAACACTGACACATAAAGGTGCCTGAAGTAATGATTAGGATGAAGAATCTAAGAGAAGAAGAGTCTATTATGGAATAAATTACAATTGTAACTGTTTTCCCCGATACTTGTACATACCATTTCACTGTGAATTCCGATATCGATTTTCATTATTTTTATAACAAAGATCCATGATTTTTACACTGTGAAATACTTCACCTAGTACTGTAAAATTGGTTATTTACGCGTGGGGGAAATTTACACTAGTTACGCGGTAAGATTAGAACCGCGTAAAATACCCCCGCGCGTATGGTCATACAATATTGAAGTTCTCAGGACTTCTGTACGTAGTTATTCATACCGTTAGACTTGTCAAACCAGACATAATTAAACGCATCAATGAACACACCTGGATACTTATATACAGTGTAGTACAAAAGCAGATATTATACAAAAATTGTGATAACATTTTTAAAATCATTTATTTTTGTTATGTGCCATAATTCATCATAAAAAAAGACTCCATATGATACAATTTAAAAACAATGTTCAGTTTATTAGTTAATTATTGTCTCCTCTCTTTAGTGGATCTCGACATATCTAGCTAATTGCGGGAAATCCCCACGCTTGTGAATGCACGGATCAAAAAATCAGTCTCCTTTTCCATGACCTTGTGACACTTTATAATCCATTTAGCATGTAACGGTTTGATCACGGAGGTTTTGAGGTCTATCTGTGAAATATGCGCTCTTTCATCGGATTTATTTTCTGTAATTTCTTTGGCGATCCGAGATGAGTACCAACTTTGGAATTCTGACTTTATACTTTCTTTGTATTTTTTGTTAATCGTTTGATCTAAGGGTTGTAGCTTGTCTGTCGAAAATCGCAAGCGCTTGTTGATTGAGACGGGAGAGTTCTAGTCCCTCTCTGATGCCTTCAACATAAGGAATTATGATTTTTTCGGCATATTGAGGCATTGTAGTGTCATTACTCCAATGAGATTCTGAATGAGTTATGTGCCACGAATCAGGAAAGTCGACTTTTGGATGACACTGCTCTGTTTTGCCGGCATAGATAAGCTGTGGGGGTAAAAGGACGCCTGACAAAGTTGACGCGAGTAAAGCCGTTATTTGTCGCTTGTCCCCTCTACCAACCAGTTTAACTTGCTTTGTGCCCTTCTCCTCCATTGTCCACTCGCTCGCTGGGACCATGTTCAACCCTAATGACACCAATTAATACTAATTAATGTTTGATTTATAAAGTATAAACGTCAAAAACAACAAAATTCATTTACTTTATTAATAAAGCACAAAAAGATATTAATTTAAATCTTTTCTCAATGATAAAATTGAAAATACCTGTTTGGTCCCAGTTGATAATTAACGAAGCTGGAATGTCATGTTCTTCAATGTTCTTATGGATTCTATCCAAGTACTGTTGTTTTATTACTTCAAAATCGTCAGGAAGATGTTTCACACCTTTAGTAGCTTTTCGTTTTTTAAAGTTTAAACGTTCCATTATGGATCTTGCCCATTCTCGTGTTAGACTAATAGTATCCAAGAGGGACGGATCTTCACTCAGAATTACACCTTTCCCCACACTTTGTACAATGTTGGTATTAATTACACCGCCAGCCTCTCTCAAATCCTTTATATAATCACAAAAAGTTTTTCCAGTTCATCACCGAGTAGTTTGGGACGGCCTCGTTTTTTAGGGACCACTTCTTTCACCGGCTCTGTGGAAAGTTTCTGCCTTAATAAATATTGCTGGCGAATTGTTCTAATAGAGCTTTCGTTTATTTTTACCCCTAGTTTTTCTGAAAAATATTTCGCTGCTTTCGCTGGGCCATTGTCGATCGCGTATCGTCCCATTTTCGCCTTTTGTTCTGGAGTGTAATGTTGATATGACCCCCTTTTCCTCTTTTTGCCGGACTCCGGAGTTTTTTGATACTCTTCATCCACAATATCATTTAAATTTTCTATCAAAGTACGTTTTTCTGGCGTATGCTGAGGATCAGGAAGACATATTCCCTGTTTTTTAGAAGGTGTTGTCAAAGTTTTGAAATAATTCAAAATAGACATCGTGACCGATGGACATTGCCTTTCAAAGTGAAATCGATTTATTACAGGGGCTACAGAATGCTGTGAAAAGTTCTCAAAATCTACTCAGTATTCATTCTTGCGTGTAATGTACTTGTAAACCTAGCTTGACTATAGAAAGGGAAATAACTCGTACACGATGTTAGTAAGAAGAAACGCGTAAATTATTCGCGGTATATCGCACGACCGTGTATTTTACACCCACGCGTAATAGTTAACTATCACAAACGCGTACTTAACAACCAGTGTAAATAACCACTTTTACAGTAGACACGCAACGTCCCTTGTTTTCACGTTTAAAAGATGTGGAAGATAAGTTGCAACTTTGAGTAAGGATATTTGAACGTTGAGGTTTCAATGATGATTCCTCAAACTTTTTTCTACGTTGAAAAACGTAAAGAATGAAACACATTTTCAACGTTCAATGTTTGTGGAAATTTCAACGTTGAAACAACGGTAAAGCATCGATTTATTTAATTTCGCACGTACTTATTATTTACATGAGTGCAAATTTAATTGAGAAAATGCTTGGATTTATTGACATGTAACACTGTGTTAGTTTGTGACAGGGTACACATGTAAATACACAGGGGTTTGAAATATCTGGTTCACTTAAGAGAACGCCGTTGTTCTTTTGTGATACGTATGCATTGCGAAGTTTAAGTTTTATTTTTTGTAACAGGACAAATGGTTTGTCTTTTAAAAGTCGTAAAGTCTAGTAAATAGGAGCTCAAAGAATAAAAAAAGAACTGAAATTGAAATGTGCGTCTTCGTTAATGTTTCCGTTTATCTCAGGTTCTTTCAGAACAAATAAAAAAATAAAGAAAAAATTTTATAAACATTTTATCCTAGTACTTATTTTATACACAGTAGAAAAATAATCAACGCCTTGATCCAAACGTAAGTATTTTATGTATCTAAGAACAGATGATACAGACAACTTTTTTAGAAGAGACTTAATATCATGTCTTTAATTTAAAAAAGTTTATAATTCTTAGAAGTTTTTCTCCTAAGAACTGCAATAAAAAAAAAAGACTTGGAAAAAAGAAAAAAAAAAGAAAAAAAATTATTATCATCTGTCCTTATATAAATTTAGTGCTACAATAAAAGAAAAATATTTATTGCCAATGTAAAAAAATTATCCTGAAGGGGCATTCAGACGTGTCTGAAAACACATACATGTATTGACATATTCTCAATAAAAACTTGACTAGCCTATCAGATTTAAAAATGAATATCAAGTAAAATAAAGCTTTATTACGTTTACTGTGTATTAAACAAACTAAACATGTGTTAGTCTCCCCAAAGAGAAACATCCAATCCAATAATGACAAAATATATTCTTTAATGTCATTACCCCTACAACGTGAAATAACGCTCTATGACGTGCATATCATCAGTCACGTTATTATGTCAAAACACGCCCGACTCTTATTCTATAAAAAAATGCCTGACGTCGATTTCACTTACCGTGAAAAAAAGCTACATTAATTTCCAAATAAAGGGCATGAAAAATACGATGTTCAGTTATTTCCGGGATGCATGGTCGAAGCAAGTTTAAATTTAGATGATTTGTCAAACCGAAAATATAACAAAGATGGCATGGGAAGATTTTCTCGAGTACAAGATAATTAAAAGACTTCGACAATGGGGTCGTTTTTTTTGTCTCTGTAAGTTGAAGAAATACAGAGGAACAAATAAATGGCTCTCGTGTCGAAAGTGCATTACCATTTTCTGAAAACGCCTCAAGTATTCAGGAACCTACCTACTTTGCTTCAATATTCCCTTTTTGAAATTTCGATTTTGTCTTCTTGATTGTTTGAATTGAAATGTCTTCCTCAAAAATCGTTCTCTGGGGATTGACTCGGGATTCGCTTAAAGTTATGGAAAACTTGTTTATCATGGATTAAACAGTTACTGTACAAATATGAATGTTCTGTTTTTTGGTTTATCCTTGCAATGAAACATTGAATAATTCTAGAAAAAAAACACGTAATATTTCATTGAAGTAGGAAAGAACATTGGTACATTTAAAAAATATATTTCCTTAATACACACATATGTTGAAAATAAAAGCAAGTGCACAATAACCTTTAGTTACCATTTGTATTGCCGTGGGTAGTGTATTGGTGCAAATGTCATTAGACAGGTGTCCTGTGATCGATTCTCTGTAAGATGAAAAATACAGAGTAACAAATAAATGTTTCTCTTGTCGCAAGTCATCATCGTTTGCTTACATGCTTGTACATAGTACATAACCTGGATTTTCGAACCTTTTATGCCTCTTGTTATATGTAGTATGATTGCTAAAGCCAATTTCCAGATTGATGAAAAAAAATTACAAATGTGTCACCTATGGTATATAGAATATGTTTAAAGAATAAGAAAAAATACGCCAAATAGACACAGGGGTCTATATTGGATGCGGATATGCATATATCTGTCTTAAGCACCCGTGAATTGTATACCGATAGATATCAGTGGCTAATAAGATAATGTAGATCCTTAGTGTACTATTTACAATTCTAGATCCTTTTTGCATCACTGTAATGGTTGTTGGACTTATACCAACAAATCAAGAAGCATCGTATAGAACTTAAACTATGGAAGTGAGAAAAAAATGATAAGTACTGAAAAAAATACGTAAAACTGTTAGGGTGGTTTGAATGTCTTTCAAAGTAAATCAAACAAATAATGTTGTATTGGTTGACTAACTTAACCCTTTTGATTATGAAGTTGACAGAACTCTTTCAGATATTAATTCATTTAACCTTGTTGATTTTAAAGATACATAAACAGTTATCACATACTTATCTATATAGAGATAGAAATATTATTTTGATTTTTAAAGGAATTTTAAAGATCGTCTTAGGTTAAATTTACATTTCTTTCTCTTTTTTAATGAATTTCTAGTCCTGATTCACATTTTCAATAACAGCACCATAATATTCATATTAAGAAGCTTGTCTCTAACCTCTCACAATATGTCACAATATATGAAAGTAAGGATTTCTTTGAGCATGTTGAGTGAGTTTAGACGGATGGGCATATAAGATTCCTCGAACATTTCTCCATAATAAATGTTCATATTTTATTAATTTAACGACATATTTAATTGTAATGATGTTCTCAATACCATTCTAGTCATCAGCTATGGAGCTTGGTGTTAAAAAATTTGAATTATGTACGGTAAACTTCGATCCTTCAGTGATCGAAAGACATTACAAAGTGGAAACACTGAACATCTTCACCTCCGCTTACATAGATTTTATCAATTTGTATATGGATTGATTGATTGTATATTGTTTAAGGTCCCTCTCGAGTTTTTTCACTCATATGGAGATGCCACCGTAAGCCGATGAAGAGCTTCAAATTTTGACCTTTACTCGGCACTCAGGGCCATTGAGCAGTGAGGGATCGATATACATGATAAACAACGTGCACCTTACTTCGACAGACCCGAGCTTTTCCTGTGATCAGAAACTAGACTCGTTTACGAAATCAACAGATCACAAATGCAAAACCAACGATTATTCACTGAATTGTCGCTAGATGGCCGCCCATATGCCTTTGTTGCATTTATAAAAATTATAATGAGAATAACATTAGCACTATAACGTTTTAGCTTTTTTCTCTTCCCTTAAATCCATAACACATTCATGATTTAGCACTTCTGAACAACCCAACAGGAGTATTTTGTCCCGTTTGGACAGTTCTAGTTTTCATAGTGTGCATATAAAGTGTTTTTCTTTGAGGCACATATCACGAACATTTCTTTGAACATGAACTTCCTTGAAAAGAAACAATCGAAATGAATGGTTAACAAGGTTGATATATCATATATTTAATTCACACAAAATAAGGATCATATTGAAGAAAACTTGCATATATCATAAAAAAAAGTAACATTTCGTAACCACACTTTAATGTATTTGGTGTTCAAAAAAGTGTCTTTAGTGACCAATTTTTTCAGGTATAATATATCCCGTATTAACGTCAAGTCCATATCTCTTTTTATGTTCGATGATGCGCATGGTTTTTCTGTGGAAAACTGTTTGGTAGAGTGACTGTACTTTTTTCTTCATAATTCTGCCATTTGCATGAAGGATACGGAAAAAACGATGAGTAATCAACATCATCAATGTCCATAAAATAATAAAAAGTAGGAGCAGAGTAATACAAAGAGCTAGGATCAGGTGGCATGGACTAGTGAGCATCTCCTCCAGACTGATCACACCATGTATTCTTTTACAAAAACTTCAAAAGAAGAAAAAAAACACAACTACAGAAATGAAGTGTCAAATAAAAAAAAACGTTAAAGAAGATAACAAACAAACAACCAAAAGCATAAAAACTGAATATACTTTAAAGAGTTGACACATTTCAGAAAAGTAAAGAAAACATCCTTAAAAGGCTAAAGACATTATTTTTTCTTTAAATATTATTTGTAACCAAAAGCTAAAAAAACTTACAGGAAAATGAAAAATATGTTTAAGAGAATACAGAGAACTGCCAAGACTCCATTCAGAAAAAAGGAATACGTGCACCAGATGTTTGAGTTGATGTTTGATCTAAACTCTGTTCCAAGAAAACAAATAAAATATTATACTATTGTATATTTACACTGTATCGTATATTACCACCTACACCGTTTCAAATCATGTATCTTTCAATTAGGATGAAACCGAAATAAAAATATCACCGGATTTGAGAACATCGTTTAATAAAATGTATAAGATTTTATATCGGAAAGTGCAATTGATTTAAAGTAAAGTTTTATGAGCGACATTATACATTGTATACAGTTATACTCCATATTTTGTCTATCACCGAATTAAAAGACTTCTGAATCAGTTTTCCCTTCAAAATGTCGTGTGGGCCATATCCTATCATTATTTTTATAGAATGCTATAGAAAACATAACATTTCTTAAAAATAGAAAACAGGTACTAAGAAAAACATTACTACTATATGCTCGAGTC